TTTTTTTTTGTACCGGGGATCGAACTTGGGCCCTAGCGCTTGCAAGGCAGGTGGCAGAACCACTGAGCCAAATCCCCGGACTGAATTTTTTTTTTGTTTTCTGGTACTGCGGATTGAACTCAGGACCTTGCCCTTGAAAGGCAGAGGACGACGACGACGGCAGCCACTGAGCTAAATCCCCGGGCCCTGAATTCTATTTTTAAGGAGAACCTTTGTTTCTTTTTGCGAGTTATATCTGTTAAAGTGTTCTTCGTTTAATTGCCACAGTGAGGTTGAATCCAGTATCACACGGATGCTAGGCAAGGGCTCTGCCACTAAATTACTCCCGAAATCAATACAGCTGCTTAAAAAAATGAAATGGCCTGTTAGGAGTATCAAGTCCAACTAACCAGGTCCCCCTTTTAAAAAACGTTTGGCACACAAGTGCAGAAGGGTCAGGTGCGTGACTCAAAGTTCAGGATCGTGGGTGATAGCAAAATTAATTTTCCTTTGCACCACTGAAATTGTCCCCGCCTCCAGCACTGAAATCAGTTTGTATGTGTGTATTTAACAGTCCTCTCTTACTGGACTACAATATATTCAGAATAGAGTTTGTTTCTAATTCTGTGTAGAAGATCTGGTTTCTTTTTTTTAAATGAAGGTTTGTTCAGGAAGGAAAGCTCTGCAACTAAAGGCTAAATAAATGCAAAGTAAAGTAGGAAGCCAGCATATGAATATCTGACTTGTTCACTCAAGGAAAGGCACAAAATGAGACAAATTAATAACGCAAGAGTAAAGGATGAGGGAAACGGAGGCCATTTCCTCCTTCCTCCCACCTCAGCCGGTTTCAGCGGAAGGTTCCAGAAGGGACCCAGGCGTGGCTGGTGTCGTCAACGCGCTGCGCGGCGACCACCTCCGAAGCCGGCCAAAGCTCGCTTTCCCGCCTCACAGAAGCCCAGAGATGGGGGCGGGGTCGCACGAGGGGCAAGATACGTCACGTCCGGTTCGGGACGAGCCACTGTGTATGGAAGAGCAGGCGAGGGGGCGTGGCCAAGAAAGCGCGCGTTCTGAGAGAGGCGGAGCCAGTTAAGGAGCGGCGCGTCACGTCCGGTGGAGTTAGAACCTGTGTGGAGGTGGTGCGGAGCGCTTCGCCTCTGCGCGGCTGAGCAACCAGGTCGTCCTGCGGGCTGCGGCGAAGCCCTGTAATAAAGAAGGCACGAGAGTTTGGAGCTTCGATTGAAGCCCGGCGAGCCGGAGACGTCAAGCCAGGAGTCATGAGCGACAGCGGCGAGCAGAACTACGGCGAACGGGTACGGAAGGCTGGTACATGTAGGGGGCAGCTAATGTGGTCCCAACGTTTTGCATCTTCTTGTAGGCCCGTCGGCCTCGGGCCGGGAGTCGGGAGTACGTTAGGCTCCGAAGTGTGAAGCCAGGAGGGATGGGAAACTGGGTTCGGATGCTCTTGTACAAAATACCTTTTATAGTCGTGAAGGAGTGCGCTGGCGGGTTCGGGGGTCTTCTCCCCGGACGGCCGTCTTTTCCGTTACAAG